AACAACACTTTCACTGATAATATAGTCGTCATTATACTTTTTACTGCTCTAAAACACTCATTTGTGTTCAATATTGGCCTCAATATTTTTATTTAATATTGTCTCACAAACATTACAGTGCTCCAATGTACTGTTTTGTTTTTGTTTTTGTTTTTTTCAGCAAGTCACACGGCAAAATATGTTAGATGCCCTTTTCAACTTGTTAAATCAACAATGTGATTTTCTGTGCCTATATCGTCTTTGATCGAGCATGAGAGAACATGAGAGCACCCTAGGAAAGAAAATTACCTCCCTTTGTATAGCATTTTAACAAGTGTTCTAAATGTATCATTTTGAGTGTTTGGTGTAGCCACTTTATGATGGCTGGGCCTAAAGGTACACTCCAGGCACCAATGCAACATCATCTAAATTATGTTGTTATGGTGCCAGGAGGCCCCTGGAGGGTTAAAGGTTTAACTCCATTCTCCTCGGCTGCATCCGGCTTATGAATTGTCATCGCTGATTGGCTCAAAGCTTTTTTCTAACCGTACTGTTCTTTCAAGCCATTTTTGTGAATGGAAAGTCACTGATTGGCTGAGAGTGACTTCTTGAAGTTGAGTTGAAGAGGTGACTCTACTGCTCCTGCCACTTGTCTGGGTTTTGGGTCTCTGGCACTATGCCACATGCTAGACTTTCCAAACATGTCGTACAACATAAATAGCCTAATATATTCACTGGCTCACAGGCATATACTGTTGTTGTCGTACCCGGTGTAGCCGTGAATGGGGGTAGTAAAGTTTGGGGATATTTAGCTCTCCTATGGCACTGTGGGGTCCTAAAGCATTTGTGTATAGAGTGGTGGAGCCAGTGATGTATTCTGGTTTTGTGCTGCCCTAGGCATGATAAAACTCGAGCACCCCCCACCCCCTTTCCAAATTTCTCTTCCTGACAGACACACAGTCATTGTTACACACATTGTTTAACCAACACACTTTCACTAAAACATACACATTCACAGTTACACACTCTCACATTCACGAACAGACACACATACACACTAAGTGACAGACACACACTCACCGGCAAGATATACATGCACACTCACTGACAGATGCACACCCACTCAGTGTCAGACCCAAACACTGAGACACATATATTTATTGACAGACATATATACACTCAGTGTCAGATACACACCACATAGTGTCAGGCACACACATTTACTGACAGATACAAACACTAGCAGACAGTCATACACATTCACTACCAGACATACACACACTGACACACGCATACACACCAACAGACACGCATACTCACACCGAAACACACATACACACACTGATAGACATGCATACACACACTGACTGGCACACACTCTTAGTGACAGATACACACACACTGACAGACACACATACACTCTCACTGAAAAACACATACTCACACTCACATTTTTTTTAATGTCAAATCAATCCAGCCTCCCTACCTTTGGGAGCTGGAGTTGATTCTTCCCTGGGGTCCAGTGGGGCTGGAGGCAAGCACGAGCAGGCACAGGAATTCAAACAGTGGAGGAGGACATTGAGGGAGCTCTGATCCTCCTGGTCAGCACCCTCATGTGCCTCTCAGTCATGCCGGGGCCGAAGTGACATCATATTCCGGCTCCGGCATCACTGCAGTGCGCGCAAGGGAGCTGAACAGGGAGAGCTTTTGCCATCTCCCTAAAAGTGCCGCCCAAGACAAATGCCTGGTCAACCTCGCGCTAGATACAGTGCAGGGTGGGGCACCATCACTGGAGGACTTGCTTTGGTATTCACTGCTGGAGGCTCTCATAGAGTCACTGTCTGAGCGGGATTTTAATTTAATTACCTAGCTGTCTAAATACCCACTACCTCAAGCACCTCCCAATTCCCACTTTCACCCCAGGAAACCATACATCCAACCCAAAAAGTTAATAAAACTACAGATCAAACAGCTGCAACCAGCACTAAAATTGTTCTTTTTTTTAAATAGAAATAACAAAAAAAACTAAATGCCAGCTTGATGAGTGAGCCCTCTGATCACACTGATCACTGATACAGTACCGTACAGCACAAATACTGTACAGAACCGTTATCATGCAGCAGGGAAAGGGGTTAATAAAATTTAAAACTGCTGTAGCTGACAAAAAGGTTCAAAAAACACAATTGTTTAACCCTAACAAAAATATTAATAGCACTAATTTACTAATCACCCTAATCAGACTGATCATCGGGTTAACACTGAAATGACTAAAAGAAATTGATTTTTTAAACTTTTTATTTAATTTAATATTTGTTTTAGCAGTAAGGGACGCTGTAGCAATTATCTCTATGTCCCCATTGCCTCAGATCAAAGTGAGGAAAGTGAGTGACAGAGAACAATGTTTCAGCCAAGCTTACAAATCATTGGCCGAGACATTGTAAGAGTAATCAGGGTGACAGCATGAGTGGCGTCTCTAGGATTCATTTTTAGGGGGGGCACATGGAGGGCCAGGGACAAAAGAAGGGGGGCACATTTAACCCCGCCCTCGCTGCAGATTGACCCCGCCCCTGTCACATGTTAAGCCCTGCTCCCGACACAATGTGTTTTGTTTTTTAATAATCCCTGGTGGAGGATTCATTATTTTCCACCAAGGATTATTAAAAAACAAACAAACACATTACCCTTGATACAGTGCCATAGTTGCCAACATTTGAAAAAAAATTCCTAGGACATTTTGCAGCACAGCTATCAATTACTGTCTGGGTATAATATCCCTGGACAGTCAGTGCTCTCTGTATAATACAGGGTTGTGTGTATAATAAATTGGGACAGTCAGTGCTCCCTGTATAGTGCTGCTCTCTGTATAATACAGGTCTGTTTGTGTATAATATCCCAAGACAGAGAGCAGCATTATACAGGGAGCACTGACTGTCCCGGGATATTATATACACACAGATCTGTATTATACAGGTAGCTGAGCATATACCCCATGTCCCAATCTCTAGACTACTAGTACCTGTCAACAGCAGCTCCCAGACGCGTGTAGCAGGGCTAAAGTGTGCGGCACCTGACACAGATGATTCAGCGGTAAAGTGCACTCGTTGGCAGAGCCAAACTGGGACTCCCTGGGAATCCAAAGCAGCCCTGGAAAAAAATTGATGCCATTCCTACAAGTCAATACATACATATATATATATATATATATATATAGTACAGTAAGCACACAAACTCACTGACATGCGCAAATAGGCTTACCGACAGACAAAACTCTCTGACTCACACACAAGCTTACTACAGACAAACTCACTTGTATAAACAGAAGGCTCACTACAAAGATGTTCAGGGACACACACAAGCTTACTAAAGACAAGCTCACTGACACACACATGCTCACTAAATAAAAGCTCACTGACACACACAAGCAGTATCATTTTAACAGCGTTAAGGGCCCCCGGGCAAAGCAATGCACTGGGGCCCTTCTTCACAACAACTCACAGAAATTTTAATTATTGATAGACTGCGGAGTCCATACACACACAGACTGCTGAGTCCATACACACACACACACACACAGACTGCTGAGTCCATAAACACACATAGACACAAACACAGACTGCTGAGTCCATACACACACACAGACTGCTGAGTCAATACACACACACAGACTGCTATGTCCATACACACACAGACTGCTATGTCCATACACACACAGACTGCTGAGTCCATACACACACACACAGACTGCTGAGTCCATGCACAAAGACACACAGACTGCTGAGTCCATGCACACACACAAACTGCTGAGTCAATACACACACACAGACTGCTGAGTCCATGCACACACACAAACTGCTGAGTCCATACACACACACACACACACACACACACAGACTGCTGAGTCCATACACACACATAGACACACACACACACACATTTCAAGCCTACCTGTCACTGGAGGCTGTTGCTGGGGGTCAGACAGCATCTTCTGGCCTTTCCAGCAGCAGCATGGTCTGCTGCTTTATGGCGGGCCGGGCCGGGGCGGGGCTTATGTGTGGGAGGTGGGGCTTGGTTTTGGGGCGGGGCCTTGCCGGGGAGGCTGTCAGTGCTCCATCATCTCTCCACATACAACAACCAGCACTGCATTCTCTCGGGCTGTAACACACTGTTACAGTCCGAGGGAATAGAATTGAAGAACATGGCCAGCAAGTTGCTGGCATTTGAGGGGGCCCAAGGGGGGGGGGGACAGCATGATGTAGGGGGGCCATGGTCCCCTCAGCGACGCCACTGGACAGCCTGTCATTGAGATCAAGTGACTCGGGCTGCAGAGGGACTGCTCGGGTTGTCAAGGAGGGCTTGGTAACTAGGAAGGCAGGAGGGAGGGCCAGATCATTAGGGTGTCCTATGCCCTCCTATCGCAGAACGGCATAGGACGCCCTAACATTGGGAACAAGTTAACACATCTTACTGCGACTTTACCACGTGATCCTTTCCTTTATTCAAGCAAAGTAACAAATAATTTATTTATTGTACATTGATACACTTCTCATTCTCCACAATATCGGTGTACAAGATATTGCTCTCTCCTGGTGCTCCTCCTACTTCTCCCAGCATTCTTTCAGTGTTTCTTTCTCTGGCTCTGCTTCTTCTCCCCAACTCCTCTCTGTTGGTGTCCCCCAAGGTTCAGTCCTTGGTCCCCTACTGTTCTCCATCTATACTGCCTCCCTTGGTAAACTCATTAGCTCCTTTGGCTTCCAATATCATTTCTATGCAGATGACACGCAAATCTACCTGTCCTATCCTGATCTCTCCCCGTCCCTCTTGACTAGTGTCTCTGACTGCCTCTGTGCGGTTTCTAACTGGATGGCTGCCCACTTCCTTAAACTAAACTTGACCAAAACTGAAATTCTGGTCTTTCCTCCCTCAAATGTTGTTACTCCTGTGTCTGTCTCCCTCCAAGTCAACGGTGCTACCATCAGCTCCACCACGCAGGCTTGCTGCCTAGGTGTTCTCTTTGACTTCGACCTCTCCTTCAAGCCTCATGTTCAATCTATCGCCAAATCCTGTCATTTCCATCTCAAAAACATTGCGCGCATCCGCCCCTACTTAACGCCAGATGCGACTAAGGTGTTGGTCCATTCCACTGTCCTTTCTCGCCTTGACTACTGTAATCCGCTTCTTAGTGGTCTTACGTGCTCCCAACTTGCGCCGTTACAGTCCATAATGAATGCGGTGGCGAGGCTCATCTTCTTGTCCGCCCGCACCTCCCATGCCTCACCCTTCTGTCAGTCCCTACATTGGCTTCCTATAAAATATAGAGCTCAATTTAAAATTCTGGTTCTTGCTTTCAAATCTCTACATAATGCTGCTCCCACCTATGTATCCTCCCTTATACACAAGTATGTCCCGTCTAGGCCCTTACGATCTGCTGAAGACGTACGTCTATCTTCTGTCCATACTCCCATCTCTGATGCTCGCCTTCAAGATTTCTCGATGGCTGCACCGTTCCTGTGGAACTTGCTTCCCTCCTCCGTTAGATGCTCACCCAGTCTCCACTCCTTCAAAAAAATCTTTAAAAACCCACTTCTTCATAAAAGCGTATCAATTAAACTGTTAATAGCTCCTGACTGATTCCTCTTCTGCAACTGTCACTAGTCTAATACTATCCTTACCTTTTTGTTTCATTTTACCCCACTCCCTCTAGCATGTAAGCTCATTGAGCAGGGCCCTCAACCCCTCTGTTCCTAACTTGTCTGGTTACAACTACATGTCTGTTCATCCACCCATTGTAAAGCGCTGCGGAATTTGACGGCGCTCTATAAATATCATAATAATAATAATGCCAGTGAATTGATGAAAGTGATATGATGCTCTATGAAATTTGATGAATCCGATTATTAATGTCTATTATGAGGACTTGCAGGAAGATAAGGCCATATGTTGGTCAAATTAATTCAGGAATACAGATAATTCTGAAAGGTTCACAATCTCTCTTCCTGCATTAAAATTAAACGTTTTAAAGTCTAAGTCCTTTTATTCTAAGATGTGAAATTCTAAATTTTAAAAATGAATTACCATTATGATTTTATGATAGTTTTAGTTCTAGGATTTTTATGACATTAAAAAAAAAATATTGCAACTTTCATTAAAACTTTTCACAGGATGAGGAAATGGTTGAATTTGGCTAATTTCTCATGCATCCCCATAACATTTATGAACTTATGCTTGAATATACACCTTACAATCAAGGTGATCTGTGGACAGCAATTTATAAAAAGACATAATTGTATATTAGTTCAGTGTTGCTTTTTCACATTCGATATGAACATCTCCCAAGCCTCGGAAGCCACCACCTGAGATTGCACAGTTCTATGGATAAGGCATTCCTCAAGGGAGTCCATTGTATTAACCTTGAATATATTTGTATATTGTAATCATCAAAGTATATATTTTTTTCTCTTAGGCTATTATGTTTTATATATGCAGTAACCTTTATTGTGGCACTATATCTATCATAAAAAAGCAAGTAAATGAGTTTGACATGATCTATTACTCATAAAACCAAGCTTGCAAATACTAATCAAATGATTCCTGAACACAATGTGATCTTTTAATAACCATTAAATTACATTTTATATGTTAGATGATTTATTTCATTTTACGTGTTTAATGATATATTTCCTACAGAATATGCTTCTGCGTATTTTCATTTTTTATTTTCGTATACATATATTTTCATTATTATTATTATGATTATTATATAATAAAGACGTTTTGGTACACAAGATCTTGTTCTAGTTAATAGATGTTTGTTTTTTTTGTAGATTATCTACTGTTTTCAAATATTATTTTTCTATGTTTCTTAATTATTACTTTCACATATTTCTACCATTTAGTAAATTTGCATAAATTGGTTTGGTTTATAAAAATTTTTTTTCAAGGTTTCAGAGATTTTTATGCTATAAATCTGTAGCAAAAGTGTTATATTATTTTATGTGTATCTCTAAATTAATGTAAAAGTTATGCAAATATGCATCTGTGCTAATAAAAAATATATGATATATAATATTTACAAGGAAATGCAAAACATCTGATGTCACCTCACTTCAGTGAGCATAATATAAATAGGGTTAAAACAGTCTAAAACAAAATTAAAATTAATCATAATAATTCTACTAGCAGAGGTTGACTGAAACAATTAGAGAAACATTTCATGCACTATTATTAATACTGCTCTGCAAAAAATACTTATTTTTGTCGGACAACATATTTAATAGGTATGCACATGACAACAGAACTAGGAGAAATGTGTTTACTTTTGGCAATATTACAATGTATAAATCATCAAGTTTATGCTACACAGTAAACGACAAACAAACAAAAAGTTTATAATCATTAGATAAAATTAAAGGGGGACACTTACCTATCCAAAGCAATATGAAATAAAAAAAATAAGCAGAACAATTATACTAGCGTAGGTTTATTGAAGCAATAAGGGAAAATTTTATCATATTAATATTACTTAGCAAAAGTATTAATTTTTTTTTGTCAGACAATATATTTAACCCCTTCACCTTCAAGCAGTTTCCAAAAAAAACCTTGTGCATCTGTGAGTGTATATCTATGTGCGTGTGTATCTGTGACTAGCTGGAATGTATATCTTTGTCTGTACCTCTCTGTGTCATGTGTATCTTTGTGTTTGGGAGCGTATATGTGCTGGGAGCTGCTTGCAGTTGTTGTGTAAGGGCATACTTGTGGTCTTGATGTGTGCATTGTATTTTTGAAGTGAGGGGTACTGTGTGAGTATGAGGGGTTACTGTCTGTGGGGTTGGTGCCTGTGTATGAGGATGACTGTATATGTGAGGGTGACTATGGTAGGGTAACTGCGACAGGGTGAGTGTGACAGGTAGACTGTGGCAATGTGAGTGTGTGTGAGAGGTGAGTGTGGTAGGGTGACTGTGTATGGGGCAAGAGTGTGACAATGTGAGTGTTTGTGGGTTGATATTATTATTATTATTATTATTGCCATTTATATAGCGCCAACAGATTCCGTAGCGCTTTACAATATTATGAGAGGGGGGATTTAACTATAAATAGGACAATTACAAGAAAACGTACAGGAACGATAGGTTGAAGAGGACCCTGCTCAAACGAGCTTACAGTCTATAGGAGGTGGGGTATAAGACAAATTAGGACAGGAAATATCAAATAGGGTGGGAGTGAAGCAGAGCGGGAGGAGAGGGTAGAGTGCTGCCCTATAAGAGAGAGCAAGTGACAGGTATGTAAGGTAGAGGTGAGTCTGGGAGGCCATAAGCTTTCCTGAAGAGATGGGTTTTAAGGCTCTTTTTAAATGATTGAAGACTAGGGGAGAGTCTGATGGCGGTAGGCAGGCTATTCCATAGGAAAGGAGCCACCCGCAAGAGGTCCTGCAAGCGCGAGTTGGCCGTACGGGTGCGAGCAGCGGTCAGGAAGTGGTCAGGGGCAGAGCGGAGGTAACGAGGAGGGGATCATCGAGGATCAGTAAATAAGAGGGGCTAGAATTGTTGAGTGCTTTAAATGTATGGGTTAGCACTTTGAATTGACTCCTAAAGGATACAGGGAGCCAATGTAAGGAGTGGCAGAGAGGTGATGTGTGAGAGGACCGACTAGAGAGGAAAATCAGTCTAGCTGCAGCATTCATTACAGACTGTAGCGGGGCAATACGGCTTTTGGGGAGACCAATCAGGAGAGGGTTACAGTAATCCATGCAGGAAATTACTAGAGCATGGACAAGCTCTTTGGTCGCATCTTGCGAAAGAAAGGGGCGGATGCGGGCTATGTTTTTGAGTTGGAACCTACAGGATTTGGCAACAAACTGGATGTGAGGCTCAAAGGTGAGGCCAGAGTCAAGTATGATGCCAAGACAGCGTGCTTGCAAGGATGGACTTATGTGGATATCACTGATTTGAAGGGAGAGTGAGAGAGGAGGATCAGTATTAGGAGGAGGAAAGACAAGGAGTTCAATTTTAGAGAGATTGAGTTTCAGAAAGCATGAGGACATCCAGTCAGAGATGGAAGAAAGGCAAGCAGTGACACGTTGTAGGATGGCAGGGGAGAGGTCCGGGGAGGAGAGGTATATCTGAGTGTCATCAGCGTTCAGGTGGTAGTTTAATACAAAAGAGGCAATAAGCTTGCCAAGAGAGGCAGTATAAAGAGAAAATAGAAGGGGACCAAGGACAGAGTCACAGAGACCCAGCGATTGAAGAGTTTGAAGGAGGAGGTCATGATCAACGGTGTCAAAGGCAGCAGAGAGGTCAAGGAGAATTAATATGGAGAAGTGACCTTTAGATATGATAGTGTTAGTTGTAAAGGTATATAGTGTGTAGGGAGACTGTATAGATTTTTTGCATATATTTGTGTCATTTATCATTCGTAACGTGTGGTATATTTTAGTATGGATTTAATAAAGACTATTTTCTTTTTTGTGTGTGTGCATCTCTGTTTTCTCATTTTTGATTGATGTATTGACACAATGAGGATTGAGGCTTAGAGTGAGCACCTGTTCTTTTGGTGGCTTTCTTTTTTTCATATAACTTTGCTGTTTACTGTGTCCTATACAATGTGCCCTCTGTGTTAATTATTTGTATGGCTATATTCTTTATTACTGGTAGCCAGCAGATTCCCTGGTGGTTCAGTGGGCTGCCAGTCAAATCTGCACCTTGGTGCAGGCCACTCTGAATGCACCTTTCCTGTTTCTAACTGGGAGTTGCTCCCAGCCAGCCTACCCTGACAGTGAGTAGAGGGCTATCCAGGGAGATCTGTAGATGATCCCCACCGGTCCATGCAGCTGGACTGCGTTCAAGACATTCTGCACAGTGTAGACTGTACTCTGCAACAGGGCTGAAAGGATGTGACATCAGAGCATATCTTCCCAACATACAGGGAAGAGGAACCTGGAATGTGCACTAGTCGCCCAATGCTCCTGGAAGCCAGCCCCCTGTGGCACATGTTTGTAAATATTGCTAAGTGTGAGTTTATTTTTTCTTGCAATGTGTATTTGTCAACAGGTATGTGTTTTGAAGTAAGAGTGTGTGTGAACGTGTGTGTGAATGCACAGATTATCTTTGTGGCTGTGTGGCAGTGCATACCTATGTATAAGTCAGTGGGTATAACTGTGTGTATGGTACTGTATGTACACATGGGTATGGCACTCTATGGGCACTGTATGTGCATTGATGTATGCATATATAGGGATGTGTGTCTCTGTGGGTACATGTGAGA